GCGGCGGCGGCGCCCTCGGGCCGCGGCGCGGTGGCTGGAGGATGGGCACCCAAGGCAGTCCGGTGAAGAGCTACGACTATCTGCTCAAGTTCCTGCTGGTGGGCGACAGCGACGTGGGCAAGGGCGAGATACTGGAAAGCCTGCAGGACGGGGCGGCCGAGTCCCCCTACGCTTACAGCAACGGTAGGCCGAGGGGGGGTGCAACGGGGCCTCGGGGCCTCTGTCCTGGCCCGGCATCCCGAGTGCGGGGACTCGCCTGAGCAGCCGCGTCCAGCTAACCGAGATCTAAGCATTGGGGCTTTGGGGGTCTGGCAGAACTGAGCTAGATCTCTGCTGGCACCGCACGGATGGCAGAGGTCCTTTCATACTGTTGCCCTGCCGGTCTTGCTCAGGGAACCTACTATAGCTTGTGCTCGGAGAAAACACCCAAGAGCGATGTTATTAAATATTCTCTTTAACTTCCGGGTGCATGGCTTAAATACACCAGGTAGATTGCATCACAAGCGCTTGCCTGAGCTTGTCTCTTAATTTCAGTATTTAAGGTAAAAATGGAGTTAATAGGTGGGATTGGATTCCAGGCTGCAGGGGTGTGTCTTTAGAAGACCCAGGGGCTCCCCTATACCAGAGAAACTGGCGGCACATTACCATTCAGGCTCTCCGGGCTGTTGAGTGCTTCAAGTGCTGTCTCACTTGACTAATTTTACTACTTCTGTCCCTGGCCTATACATCCTCCAGGTCATTTTCCTTGAGCTCTTGTGGGACCTGTCTGGCTGCTCTGAGCTTTTGCTGTTCGCTAAGTCGTTTGCCTGTGGGTGTTACATCTCCCATCCTTTGGTTTTAGGACTTGTTGAGGGTACTGGTTGCTTGAATTGACTCAGGGCCCTTCCTCCTGAGCAGGAGTGCTGAATCTGCTGGCCACCTACTCTTAGTCTCAGCCCAGAGTAGATGTCTCTAAGGGCCAAAGAGGAAGAGCCATGTGTTTACTTTTAGGTGGGGAAGGAAAGGATGAGATCCACAGATGTGGGGAGCCCTCCCACACTCAAACCACTTGGTCTGGGACTTGATCTAACATTTTCAGGATGATTTCTGCTCAGAGGGACCATCCAATGGCTTTTCCCGTGGTAGTGTGACTTCCTGGTGCAAGACTAAGGGATTAGTTTCTCAGAGACTTAGCATTTTCTGAGGACTTAACTGGTGCTTCTTTTTTGTTTTTGTTTTTGTACAGGCTCTCACTATCTAGTTTAGGCTGGCTTTAAATTCACTATGTAGGGAGGGCCAGGGAGGTTGCTCAGTGGAATAAGTGCTTGCCTGGCAAGCACAAGGTCCTGAGTTCTATCCCTGGTACCACCTAAAAATAAAAAATAAATTCACTCTGGCCTCGAGCTCACAGCAATCCTCTTGCCTCAGCCTCCCAAGGGCTGGGATTACAGGTGTGTACCACTATACCAGTTTAACTGGTGCTTCTGAGGGTCAGCTCAGCCTACTGGCTAGCCCCACCAGCTTCATCTGTGAGCATGTGGCCAGTAACTGGAGAGACAGGACTTTCCCTCTGCTGCTCCCTTTGTCTAGCTGCTGTGCATTGCCACACTTCCTATTATAGGTTGACTCAAATGGGACCAATATTGCATAAAGCATGAAGATCTACTTCAGATAGGGGAGATAGAAAGCTCATGAGGGCTGGTGCCACAGAAGGCCATCTGTCAGGGATGATGTAGGAAGCTTGCTATTAAGACTTTGGGCTGGCAGGATTAAGATATATATGGAGGAAAAAAAATAAATAAATAAAAATAAAAATAAAAAAAAAAAAAAGATATATATGGAGGTTCCCACAAGTGTCCTGCAGCATCAAGCAGAGAGGGCTAAATGTCTGGGTAGTAGCATGATACTTCCCATGTTCAGGGATTCTTGGGATTGAGATGTGCACAGCATGAGGGTTGGGGCATTGTGATTGGGGCATCACCTCACGGACCCTGGGAGCCCTCTTAACAGGGTGAAGCTGGGTCTGAGAACACTTGGATTTCCTTAGAAAGACCACTAGGGTTTGGAAGCTTTGGATCAGTTGGTCCTTGGGATTCAGATCTGTATGAGTTTGTTCTTTGGAAGAATTTGTGAGGAGCTTTGAATTTCTGGTTCTCTTACAAAGAGTAGGGGAATATTTCATTTTCTCCTTCATTATTAAAAGTTCCCAGAGTCAGGCATGGTGTTGTGTGCCTGTAATCCCAACTACTTGGAAGGCTTAGGCAGGTTGATCAAGTTAGGGATCACCCTGGGCAGCTTAGTAAGACTTTGTCTCAAAGCAAAACGAGGGCTGAGAATATAGCTTAGTTGAATAGTGCTCCTGAGTTTGGTCCTCAGTATGTATGTTTCCAGTTTCTTATTTTTTAACCTAAATTTTCATGTTCCAAATCAGGTGGCAGGGAGGTCCCCATTTGGTGAGAGGCATACTACTCCAGGGAAGCCCAGACCACTTTTTGTTGTTGTTGTTTGGTTTTTGTATTTGTTTTTAATTTATGTTGGCCTCAAACTCATGGCAGTCCTCCTGTCTTGGTCCTGATGTGCTGGGATTACAGGCCTGTGATACCATGCCCGACAGGACCACTTCTTCGTCATAGCCAGATCACTTACCTGCCTTAAAGTCTTGTCTAGCTTGTTCTCGGACTGGTACATGAGTGAACCTCACTCTCTCCAGCTTCACAAGCACATGAGTCATCAAAATGGTCTTTTGTTAGCATTGATACCTGAAGCAGTAATGATGTGATGTGACCATGTTCCCAGTACTTGCAGGAGCCATGGTTTTGAATCTTTGTGGAGATGGAAACCTTCCTTTTGGGGGCTTTGGTTTCTTATTCTAAGTACACAGTGGTTTTAGGGCTATGTTTCAGAGCAAAAGCATTGCAGATTCTTGGTGTTGAGAGCTTCCACGAAGGAGGTATGCACTTTCTGTAAGCAGCGTCTACTTACAAACACCATAGTGGTGGATCTGGCTCTGGCTTTGGCTCTGAGGTGTTGCCTTAGTGTGGTGGATCTTGGTTGGCCCCAAGGCCATAGACTTGAGTGCTCACCCTTGAACCCAGATGTGTGTGGTACATAAGCCTGTCCTAGTTTATAATTTTGTTTTCTGAGATAGGGTTTCACTTTATAGCCTGGGATGACTTGGAACTTGCAATCCTCCCACTTTATTCTCAGTGCTAGGATTACAGGCATGTATCAACAGGCCTGGCTTATAGTATGGGTTTTGAATATACTTAGTTAATATAGTTACATCCTCTTGCCCCAGTCCTACAAAGCTTTGAGTGTTAGGGGCCTCCAGGAACATGCAACAGGATTTATATACCCACATCCTAGAAGATGTGAGTTATGAGATGAAACCATGGGCACAACTTCATTTCTCCCCTTGTTCTTCACAGAATGTTGGTGGAAACTGCTGAGAAATGCCCTGTCCTTTAAACCCAGGAAGTTGGGAGGAAGAAGGGTGATTGTAGATGAAGCAGGCTGACACATAGGTTTTCCATGAATGCTGAGGCCTGATGGTTATGGATGTTTGTGTAACTAGATGATATGCCGTGAAAATGAGAATAGTAAGTGCCTATGTCTTTGAGGTGCTGTGAGCTCTTTCCAAGAGTCAGAGCCACATCAGTAACCCAAAGGCCAGTCCAGAGCTCACTTTGCTTATCAGCTTCATGTGGTTTCTTTTCATCTAACTTGAAGTTAATTTTTCTCCTAAGAGATAGATTGAAGGAGAAACTTGAAGAACTACCCTGTATTGTATTTTCCTGGGTCAGAGCACATCATTATCATGAAACACAGGAGGAGCTAACCCAAGTATGTATTTAATGTAAATGAACAGCCTGTGCACAGTTTTCCTGTACTGACTTAACTTGGGGTTGGTCGTACAAGCAGCATGGTAGCCCCTCAGAGTCCTTTCTTTTCCTGTACATGACTGAACACTGAGGTCTGGATTTCCTTCTACCTGCATTTCACAGGACGATTTAAAACACCCTGTGCCATTACACTGTTTGATGGTAGGTTTTCAGCCAGGTTGGCAGGTTTTCTTTCAGGTACCTCATAGGAGGTGTGGGCGTGATCACCGTGGTACAGCTGATTTCTCCAGTGTAGTGTATAATGTGTGCCAGGCACAGTGTTGACTATTTGTCCCAGTTCCTCATTTAATTTTTATACAAGTCTCTGAGGAGGGCACTGTCATGTCCATTTTACAGTTGAGAAACTGAGGCACAGAGATAGCTGCTGTCCATGGCAGTGTGGTCACCAGGCTCCTGCTTCCAGCTTTCTTTGTTGGAGGGACCCACACAGACTTGAACAGTGAAACAGCAGGAAGGGCATGATTCTTTTCTTACTCTCATCTCCCTACCTCATTCCCCAGGCCTGTTGTCAGTTGCTGCACTACTGTTCCTGCACACTCTGCTAGAGTCCTGGAGCACCTTCTGCCTGAGCCCAGTCAGCATTTGGGAACCTGTGTCAGGAGCTGGCACTTGTGTGTATATGTGTGCTGGGGCCCAAACCCAGGGCTTTGTGCATACTAGGCAAATACAATAACATTAACTGCAGCTCTCACTTAGGAGTTGGCCCCTTTTGATTGCCATTATAACTTGTCTCAGGGCAGGCCCAGCTCTTCAATTGTGGACTTGCCAGCTCTGCTCCCAGTGAGGAATGCTGGCCCCCTGCCTAGAGCCCACCATGCAGAGAGTAGCTCTGTGTCTTCCTTGAGGCCTCTGTGCCTCTGGACTCCAATCTGGCCTCTGTGTATTTGTTCACATCCTGCCAATTATCATTATACCTTCTGTTGATTTGTTATAACTGGGTCTTTCCTTACTCTTTTTACCTGTCCTTGCCATCTCTTCCTCCTTTTTAGGCTCTTCATTTCATTCATTTTTTCATGTTTTGGGCTTTGGGCCAGGAGCTGAGGGTGCAAGGCAGAGCAAAATAGAGACAGTCATTTCTTTCTTTCCTCCTCCCCGCTTTACTTTCTTGTGGGTTTGTGACTGTAAGTATTGAACTCAAGGCCTTTACATTAAACCACATCTCCAGCCCTTTTTATTTATTTTTTTGAGGCAGGATCTCTTTGTATAGTTCAAGCTTGGCCTTGAATTCATTATGCAACCCAGGCTGGCATGAAACTTGTGGTGATTCTCCTGCTTCAGTCTCCTCAGTCTTTATTTTATTTA